CCATTTTAACATTTAAACAGATGAATCAAGCTGCTGCTCCCATTCATCTTTTTATCTGTCTCGTTTGCTTTTGTTGTGATAGAAGATGCTGCTCTCCACAGTGATATTCACGGGTGGAGCTAGGAAAACCTTCTTGATTTTTGACCTTTGTTCACTCCAGTGTTGCAACACTTTCTTTTGTAGTTGAGTTTACTGAGAGCTTCCAAGACCTCTCTGTTTTTCACCTGGACTGCTCCAACTACTTCAGTTCTGAATCCCTTCTGGCAGCAATTTCTTCACGTAAGAAATTACCGGAAATCAAGTTAACTGAGTCATGTTTGAAGAGATTTGCTTTCTTTAGGTAGGATTTTTTTTTTTTTTAACACAGAAATCTTACTTTTAAAAACATCATAGTTGAGAGAAACCGCTAATTTTAAGTTCCAAGAGTGACAATGTATACTTTTTTTTCTTTCCTCCTAGCTGCTGCTCTGTCCAATTTTGTCTCTCTCAAAGTGTTGGATCTCAAAAGCCAGTACTTTGACCACAAGGAAGCTTTGGTTTGTACATATCTTTCCTTTCAGCTGATGTAATTTGTTGCATTTGACAGAATTATTTTGTTTCAGGTTCTTTTGGAGATCTCAAGAAATAACTTGAACAGCTTAAATGCCACCTGAGATACTGGAGACTATCTAGAACTAGAAGTTAAATCAGGTCTCACAAAGGAGTTTGTAACGAAGGGCATGCATTCCTCTCCTTCTGAGAGGGATGGGCCAAATGGGATGGTTGGCTGTCCTGAACTATGGAATTGGAGGTGTTCAGCACCTCTGAAAGCCAGGATGGTCCTTGTGCAAAAGCCATGTCTATAGGGAACAGGGAGAGATTGAAAAGGCTTGCATTTGCGAAGGGAGGGTTACCCTAGTTTCTTTTTCTTTCCTGTGGGTCCCTTGAGTTTGGCAAGTGGAAGATTCCTCTTACCTCTAGACTCACAAGACCTCTTAGACCCTTTCTAGAGAAGTAGTTCTGCCTTTTCCGTTGATGAGCTGTTCAAGCTATTGAGTTACAGAGTGAAGCGACCTTTGCAACATTGGCAGGGGCAAACCTGAGGAAAGAAAGTTGATAGTAACCTATTGCCCAGAGTCCAAATGTGAATGTTTTTTTTCTTGGTTCTGCTGCTGTCACTTATTGGCATTACAAGATTTAGGAAACATACACTTGTTGAATCTTAACAGAAAAGGTTGTCTTCTCTCTGCAGTACACAATTTAGGTGTTCTTAACCAGGAGGAGCTCATCCTTCCTGCAGGGAAGGGAATAAAGTCTACAGCCAAACTGATTGTTCAGCAGTATCTACACCTACTGCACCTCAGATGGTCCTCATTTATCCTATGTCTGGACGATGACAGCGTGGTAGAAACAGCTGAGTTTGAAGGAGAGAACTTCAAACATGAAATAACACTTCTGAGACAATACTGCTTCAGAATAAATAAATCTTCTGCTTGCATACATTGCAACAATTGCGAATTAATTGTCATTTTTAATGGGTTTCATTTCTTCCTGTTTGTTCTGTACACAGCCCAAAATATTTCTTGCTCATCAAGGCATATTCTGACTGCTTATGTTGCTGAAACCTCTTTCAAACTGCCTCTTTAGTTCCTCTTGTCTTCTACAAAGCAATGTAAATTACAAGAAAAATAATCAATGGAAAAAAAGACTGACTTGAAATAGAGCTTTGTAACTTCATTGCTAGTTATGTTAGCGTATATGCCCTTGCTGTTAAAACTGTTTATTACAAAAATATTTATTGAATTTAATACTTATTTAATATAGTACATCATCTAGGGGAAATGTCTTTTGTAAGCAAATGCTGTCTGTCACATCACCTTCCTTTATTTTTGACATACATACATTTTAGTGTATATATAGTGACTTGATGACAAGAGTCCCACCTTTTAAGTAGGCTGACCATAAGGCAAGACTAAACACATGTGATGGTACACAGGCATGGCAGAGATTGCTAAATTCAGTGTGTTGCACCTGTGCAAAGCTGGTGTGGTGCTTGACCTGAAGCGGTTGCGTAAGCTGGTGTTGCATTTGCTTTGCTCTGCAAGAATGGTTTTCTAACACTCATAAACACACTGGTAACTTACTCCACTAGGCACTAATGTGCCTGCTAAATAAAGTATCCTCTATTTTATCAGTGTTCTCAGTCCGAGGTATTATAATGATTAAATGAGTTGGTTCAAAGTTCTACTTTTTCCAACCTCATAGCAACAACTTTATTTTGTTTTTAATGATGTGTAGTATCTCAGCTTCACTGTATTTTCATTCATGTTTCATACGGGTTTGGAGCATCTTTAAATCTTTACTGACATCTATTTATTTTTGCAGGAAAGGTTGCAAACTATGGAGGTTCCCAGAAGCTCGAAAAAGTCTCACAGTTAGTAAATCATGGTTACAGAAACTGGTTGAAGAAATGTCTTTAGAACACCTAACATGCCTGCTTTAAGAGCTGGACGTTAGCTGTATGGTCACACACCAGATCAAAGCCAGTGCACCCACAGTGATGACTTTTGTCCAGTGTTTCCCCTCAGTTTGTCTTGTGCCAACAGTAATGGTGAGTTGGCTTCTTCATGCAGAGGACCTCAAGGGGTTTGATATCATGAAGGACCATCATCCCCAGTCAAGGAGATTAAAATTATCTTGGCAATGGCTCTTGTCACTTTCATCAATTTTTGAAAACCAGGAAAGTTTAAAAGTGTTCCAGTTTGGGTTGGGGGGGGGGGGTTGGGGTGTTGTTTGTTTGTTTTTCTCAATCCTTCTTTATTATAGACCTGCATTGCAAACAAACATAGATTGTAAAATTTTTACCAGGACAAAAGACACCAGTCTATTCTGCAGCAGGGTTAGGTTAATGTAAAAGGATCAAGGAACAGAAGACAGGATTAACATAACTCTAAAACCCTGACTTACTTTGCAGGTTATAGATTGTACCCAAGTGGTATCTTCCACAGAAAAATTGAAAATTTTGCTTAAAGCCTCTTTAAAATTATTTATTTCCATTCAGTTGTTTTGCTTGCAATGAAACCAATCACATGAATCACAAAATAAAAATCATAAAACCCTTTATGGTCTGCCCTAAAAAAACAGTATCGGGCACTAGATTTTACTAGGGTTAAAGGCCACTTTCTGTAACAGATGTGAACACAGGACAGGCTGGTGGAGGCATATGGCAGCTGTGCCTCTTCAGCAACAAACAGTTGCTGAACAGCTGACTTAGGTGCTTTGCATCACTGCAAGCAATCCGAATTTACTTCAGCTAGACAATTAAGAGAAAGCCTTTGAAGTGGCTTAGGGAAGTCAAGATTACGTCTTCCTCCTTTGGATCAAATATTTGTGGGGAAAACAAATATTTTCTGACACTCAACCACAGTAGGAAAAGGAACTGAATGCAGCAAAGTTCAGGCTTGTGTTTGGCTGATTTCCCTGAAAAGCAAACCACTGGCATTAACTAACATTACCGTCTAGTTTTGCGGCTGCAGCCTCCGTTCTACAAGAGTTAGGACTGTAAGGGCTGAAATCTAAGGCCATACTTGCCATTACCTTTCCAGTCTGCTTTTTCTGATTTGCTTTAGTAACAGTACTCAGGAAAAGGCCACACAGAAAACCCTTCTGGTGTATTTCAGTCATTCATCCAACAGATGAATGTTGGATGCAGAAGCTAAAAATAAAAACCACCCCAAAACAAAACACACCCGTAAATTCAAAGTTTGAAAAGCAGAACTTTATTAACAAGCATTTGAAACAAAATATGAACCTTTCTCAATCCAGCTGCCATATTCAGGATTCTAATCAGACCCATAAGACAGCTCTTTTAATATGATGGTTTATCGTTTTTCCAGGCCATTGCCACTGTAACATACATCACTGCCATAGTTGTCTCCTAGAAGCGTATACTGGAATTGCTAGTTCTGGTGTTGTCATTCAGGTAAAAAGTCTGAGGAAGATAAGAAGTGTTAAAATGAGAGATAAATGAAATCTATCATGTGGGGTTAAAAGACTTCAATCTACTATGTGGTAAAAGGCTTTAAAATTGTTTCAGGGAAGTAAAAAATATTTTATTGCTGCAGTGCTTTCTAAATACATTTGACTAGAGGTCTTTCCGAAATAGCTCATTTCAACACACATATAATTACTAGTCTCAAGTTACTCTTATCAATGTTAAGAAAATGTTAAAGATTAGTTGATCTCGATAAAATTCTGATCTTCACCACCAACCCTCAGTACATGATACACACCTCTCAGTGTGCAACATTTGTACCCGGCTTTAAAAGAGAAGGAAAAATTAGTATACAAGAGCTTTTTGGTTTTAAACAAACAAACATTATTCAACTGCATAGAAACTGCATGTTGTCACAGAAAATCAGAAAAACAAGTCCCCAAGAGAATATAGTTTTGTTCTATAAGGAACTGAACAATGTACTGTAGAATTCTAAACAAAGGATTTCAAGTAAAAGCACAGGCACTGAAGTAAGGAGAACAGAACTGCTCAACTATATCAAATGAAACGTTGATCTTGTTCTGAAAACAAAGTTTCGCTACACAACCTACTACCCCATCTGTATAAAGAAGCATGTGCTCCTGAAGATGTGTACGTAGATTAAAAAAAATGCATTTCACTTTACAACCTTTTTATTTTCAAAATAGCCCATAAACAAATAAGGTAGAGAGATGCTGTAGTTAAACCTCATCAGAGTAATAAAATACTTCACCTTCATTCTAGACAAGAAAACACTAGTCCATGGCTGCGAAGCAAAGGGATTATTACTGTCAGACGAAGACTTGGTATAGAGCGATAAGAGTGGATGGAAGTCCTGGAGCTCACAGTTTTTGCACAGAATTCAAAATTTGTTGAGAGCTTGTAAAATGAACTGTAGTTTCAAACGGATTTGTCAAGCAACACCGCACCTTCATTTAGCACACAATTACGATACTTACATTCCTTCAAAACAATGACAGATATTCAGTTATTTTGCATGTGTTTCTCTCTCCAATGCTGCTTCCATTCGACTCTGTTTTAAACCCTACAGGATACAATTTAGTAAAATCTTGGTTTTACTAACATGGAAATAAAAGCTTTAGTTGCAGAACAAAAACATGTGGGAAAATTTTTTTTAGTCCTTTACAAATCAAGAAGTTTTTAACTCTTTGGGGAAATCAGAATGGGTGGTTTAAAAACCCAAACTACGTGTCTTCTTTGTAATCAGTGGCTCTACAGAATAACTTCAAATATATACTTCTTGTTCAATCAAAAGTAAATTAAAGCAATCCACAACTACAGATGGCACCAAATCCCCCCTTTCCAACTTCCCCAATGCAAAGAGTTTAATTCCTCCTGTAATTTTCTTTCTTCGTAACTGTACAAAGTAAAAAAGAAATGAATACTCCATGTCATAGATTTTTCACAACTATGCTGACAGCTCCTGCTGGACCTTCACAACCACCTGAAACAATTACTGATGAATAGCCTCCACAAAAACACCAAATCTGATCCTAAATGTGATACTAGCACTCATGCTCAAACAAAATACACAGGATACTAATATACTAGACTTACTCCACTTGTGTATGAAGACAAAACTGGTTGTTTCAGCATGGCTATAAAACACTGGTTATGACAGTACCTAATGGGACCCCCCCAGTGGAACAAAGAACTAAAACAACATTGACCGCACATATATGCTGGCTCATGTGACTCCTACTCAAGGACAAGAATACTTACACAATACAAAATACCCTTAAATTTAGCTATCATAAATTAGAATAAAAGATCTAAAAAGCAACCCTCCCTGTCTAACTTATTGCTGAAAACAGCAGCAGCAACATAAAAGCAAAATTATAAAGACACTTCAAGACAAAAGTGGCACATACCAGGTAATACCCAGTGTGATAACCACTCATGTACCAGGCTATCAGCATGCTCCCTAGTGCTTCATCGTCCTCAGGAGAGTCTGGCGTCATGGGTGGTGGAGGAGGAATCAGCTAAGAAGTCACAAAGGAAATGTCTGTGTTTCAATAGGGTACATTCCAGGTTAGATAGCAACCAATTCTAAAACGTCAAAATATAAAACTGAAAAATTAGGAACATATCCTCAATGCATTCTCTGAAAAGGAGTCAAATAAGACGGTATCTTCTGAAAACAAGTAATCTCCAAAGCCTGGGAGAAACAGGATTCCTGTAGCTTGACTGTACACAAAACACTTTATTAGGGGCAAGTATTCTATCTGCATCAGTGAAACACTGTTAATCAAGTGTAAGGTGTATTTTCTTCAAATATTTTTTCTCTTGATATTCTTACCAACAGCTTCACTGTCACAAAAATGAGTGTAGACCAGACATTAGATTCTTGTAATAGCTGTGAGTGTGTTAACAGATATCGGGAAAATACAGACTTTAAGACAGAAGTGTGTTCTAAAAACACAAGTGGTGAGCACACTCAGTTAGAAAACTTGAGATCACCAACACTCATCCCTAACACTTCCGTCCTCACTATCCTGCCACTTACCGGTGGTCCTGCTGGGAAGGGCGGGGGCCAGCAAGACAAAAACGATGGAGGTGCCCTGAATTTTGATCCAGGCTACATTGAAAAAAATGAATAGTACAAATTAAAAAGAAACTTCAGGCATTAGAATTTTATTTAAAAGCATTATTTGAAGTAATTCACATACCTTAAACTAAAGAAAACACATCCCAGAAATTTAATGAAACTGCACAACACCACACAGTAGCTATTTCTGTGGAGCACCCCATGATGGGAAAAGTAAAACTTATATTCGACATGTCACTGAGGTAAACACAGTTCTAGTTGATACAAGCATTTAAAAAATTTTTCTAAATAGAAGTCAGTGGTTGCACTCCCACATAAACAAACACCTCTAATATTGCCCACAGGCAAACAGATAAGTTTCTCTGTTCCTGTGTGGCTGGGAGCACATGCTGATTAAATTCCATTGCTTGTGAATGTCTTTAAAACGAGCTTAGATACATACCTACTGATATGAAAGAAAAAAAGATAAAAGAAGAGTTTATAAAGAAATCTTGCACAAACAGTAATATTTAGAAAACACAATGCTGGATTCAACTACACTATTATTCAGACTCTTACACAACAGGAAAACTGAACAGTGTATCAATACCCCAGCCCTCATAATTCAACAGAAAAGCTACAGCTGAGAGCTTCTGTGCTATCTGGACACACACTTTTGTGGCCTTCAATGTCCTGTGTAGTGAAACATGTCAGTCGGCTAGAAAAAGTGCAATCTTCACACATCAACAGTGCTACCATTAACAGCACTATCGCAGTTCGGGGAACAATATCTCTCTTTTGAGCTACAAGGCAATTGCAAAGGCAGGGTTACCCAGGGAGAAGGCTTTCCTCACTAGACAGCATCACTGCAGAAGGGCTACCCTGTGGCCAGATTACCATAAAATGACATACCAACAGGTTCTAACATGCATATCCACACATTCATTCTCAAAATGCCGTTATTTGGTTTCTAGACAACAGTGGTCTAAGAATTATTTTAGATAAGGCTAAGCCTACCCTTCCCAGGCCTGGGGCTGCTGGTGGTGTGGGAAAACGTAGGTTTTGAGGAGAGAATCTTTCTTTCGTGCAGTTGTTTTTGTTTCGAGGTGACTGGGAAGATTTTTCACTTTCATCTGTTGAATATGGAGTCTCGTTTTCATTCTAGAAGACCAAGACATTCTTATGAGATACACTAAACAGCAAGCAGTTTTAGTGTGAAAAACCTTGGAAAGCCCCATACACATCCTTCCCTCTGTCTAGCCTTCCCAGCCCTACTCAGAAAAGATCTTATAGCCTCATAATCTTACCTGCTCACCATTTTAGCTATGTTATCTTTCAGTCGTGAATTCCTTCGCGTCCCCTCCCTTTGTCCCATGCTGAGTTCAAGAAGTGTGGGGATGCTTCATCTCCTGCATCAGCTTACGTCCGTTCACAATGGAATCGAGTATCGATTCTCATTCGGAACACCGCAGTGGTATCAGAAATACCGAAAAAATTGATTCTCCCAATTTGCCTTCCTTTTCAGAAGAATGAAAAAGCATCCCTCCCTCACCTCCCCAGAATTCCCCATCCCATTTACTGTTTCATCACTGGCTGGAGGAAGTAGATCAGACAGGTTCTGCTCCTCCTGATTTCCATATCCCACATAAGTAACAACACATGTCCCTCTCTTCTGATTGATGGAGGCAATCGTGGCCAGGTACACATTACCATCCTCAGACCAAACAGCGTTACAGCTGTCACCAACTTTCCACTGCAACAAAAGCAAGAAAGGCAAGTAAATACCCACACCAATGATAGGAGAGAATAATGCCTTTTTCTAAAATACTTTTTATCCCAACCACGAGGAAAATGACTCCCACCCAGAAAGCTTTCCCATTGTATTCAGTGAAACCGCTCAATATAAACTATAAATGACATCTATAACATTATCATTCCCCCACCCCAGAGCACTACTCTCAAGGTGATGAAAAAGCGACTTTAGCACAATGTGCACTACGAGCACCGCTAGCATTCACAGGCGAGGCGACCTGTTTCAAAGACATTGTGTTGCTCTTCTTTCTATTTCTGTTCTTTTTATTGTTTTTCCTCTTCATCCACGGGCGCTGCTCCTGTTTCTCTGAAGGCTCCGAACACTCTCCATTCTTTAAAGCGTTCTTCGGGAAAAGAAAGGAGGAAAACGGTAAAAGGCAATCCGGCGGGCTCAGCCCAGGGTCCAGCCGCCCCCGTGCCGCCCACTCACCTTAAAGGAGGCCACCGCCTTGTCGTACGCCTTGATGAGGGCCGTGTCGTCCCACACGTCCGAGTCGTCGCTCTGCGGAGGCCACAGACCGCTTTACCGCCG